TTTAAAAATTGCCGAAGTGTTCAGAAGAGGTGTAAGTTCCGTCGGCCCGTCCGTCTCTCTTCCATCTCGGACCTCTCTCTTTGTTTGTCTTTCTCTCTGCCCGTCTCTCCGTTGTTCCATTTCCCCGTAGCTGTAGGGTTTTACAGAGAACAATATTTGAGTGCTGAGCTTAAGTTCTTGGGAAGGCTAGCCATGGAAGTGGATGCATAAATACTTTTTTTAAGTTGATTTTTGTCGGTGGAGCACAACCGCAAGGGTTAATCGAGCACCACCGTCGGTTCGTCTGATCCGGTTGGTATTTCCTTTATTTCGTGCTGGTACATTATCTGTCTCCTTGTTTGTCTTCTATCATTCGCATATACCTTCACACCCAACCCGAAATCGACCCAATAGGAACTGTTCTGTACTCCATTTTGGTATTTTGTGCTATTCGAATAGGAACTCTTCCCTCTGCTAACCGAAATGAACCCAATAGGAACTGTTCTGTACTCCATTTTCGTATTTTGTGCTATTCGAATAGGAACTCTTCCCTCTGCTAACCGAAATGGACCCAATAGGAACTGTTCTTTACTCGATTTTTGTATTTTCTCCTTTCCGAATAGGAAGTCTTCCCTCTGCTATCAGTGCTGCAAGTTGAACATAGGTATGATAGTAGTTAGCAACAAGAATAAAAGGTGTTCTGCATTTACATGGCGAACTTGTTAGGTTGGGTTATATATAACGAAAGAAGACTTTAAAAAAAAATTGTGTAATGTTGGCACGGGAAAAAAATTTTTTTTTTGTTCGAGTAGCCAAAAAAGCAAAAATAAGAAACTCAATAAACAAACAATGACTAATCTTGTTTCCGCAACAGATAGCACACTCGGTTGAATTCTGCTTTCAATTTTGTAGTACTCGGTGATTTTATATTGCCAGAACTTATGTTTAGAAACAATCTGTGGTACACGGACTCTGCAAAATAGATCAAATACCTGTGTCGGACACCTGAGAGTCGGACAAGGGTATGGGATATGTGTCGGATACTTTTCAACGGACACTTCTTATATAATTGTATAAAACACAATTATTATATGTGCAAATTATTGTGAAATTACTATAAATGTGATTTTGACACCGTGAGTTACATATAGTACCATTTTATGTCACATATTAGATTAAAAATATGATCTTTTTTCCCCACACCGTGTACCATTGAATGTAGGGTTAAGATTTAATGAGTCGGACCTGTACATACATACCGCACCCGGCACCCGTACCCAAGTCCGGGTAACACAATAAACAACTCTTTCTTTCAGTGCTGAAGTTCATGCATAGTTGACGGTATTCAACTTAAAACATAGAAAAGCCAATTGAAAGAGTTGAAATGAGGATAACGATTTCCAAATTTTGTAGAGAGCTATTCGTTCCCACACCCAATTCTGAATCAAGAGTTGAAGCGTTCACTTTCATAGCTAGCCTTTCCAACAACTTAAGCGGCCGGAGACGATGGCTGAAAACCAATACCTTCTCCCCACCTGAGTCGGACAACCCTAACAGATTAAGGAAGAAGTTTACCTTCAGTCCTTCTCTAATATCCAACTTTTCTAAGATGTGGTCCATCTGAGCATCGTCAATGCCCTCTGTTTCTGTGGTTGACATGTCTGTAGGTGAACTCTTTAGGAGGGATCTCAACTATGTGTGCACATACAGTGTGCTCCCATCCCAGGTGATTTCAACTGCTTAACGAAGTTGTTCAGTTCTTCAACTTCACGAACTATCGTAAGGGTGAGGTGAACAAATTCAGAAAAGTCAACAAGCCCAGGCAATTCACGAAGAAAATCTCATTTGTAGAAATGGACAACCTTGCCTGTCATTGCACGCAACTTTTGAATGACGGTTACCTTTCTCTTGAAGTTATCATCTTGCATATATATACAACATTTACATTTGAAGAGGAAGGTAGCTGTCATTCATGAGTTGCGGGCTGTCTGGACTTTATTGAGCGAGTTCATGAATGCGTACTCTCATTTGTCTTTTTTATGACCTTCGTGCAGAATGAGAATGGATGGGTACGTTAGTAATATTTGTTGGCAGGCAGTGGCAGTCTTGCTTGTTTCATTGTCACATACAATTGATGAAACTTGTTTGTACGCCCGAAAAAGTATTCTTCTCTGATCTGCCCACTGTCTGAGCACCCAAAGGTAATGGAGCATGGGCCAGGATGCACCCACCTTGATTCTCTGCAACCAAGTTGCTCAGTCGGAAATTGAAGCCCTCAACTTGATGGCTGGCCCTGCCAACAACTTAAGCGGCCGGAGACGATGGCTGAAAACCAATACCTTCTCCCCACTTGACTCGGACAAGCCTAACAGATTAAGGAAGAAGTTTGCCTTCAGTCTTTCTCTAATATCCAACTTTTCTAAGATGTGGTCCATCCGGGCATCGTCAATGCCCTCTGTTTCTGTGGTTGACGTGTCTGTAGGTGAACTCTTTAGAAGGGATCTCAACTGTGCGTGCACATACAGTGTGCTCCCATCCCAGGTGATGTTCAACTTCTTAACTACGTTGTTCAGTTCTTCAAATTCACGAACTATCGTAAGGGTGAGGTGAAGAAATTCAGAAAAGTCAACAAGCCCAGGCAATTCACGAAGAAAATATCATTCATAGAAATGGACAACATTGCCTGCCATTGCACGCAACTTTTGAATGACGGTTACCTTTCTCTTGGAGTTATCATCTTGCATATATATACAACAGTTACATTTCAAGAGGAAGGTAGCTGTCATTCATGAGTTGCGGGCTGTCTGGACTTTATTGAGCGTAGAAATGAAATGCGTACTCTCATTTGTCTTTTTTATGACCTTCGTGCAGAATGAGAATGGATGGGTACGTTAGTAATATTTGTTTGCAGGCAATGGCAAACTTCTTCCTTAATCTGTTAGGCTTGTCCGACTCAGGTGGGGAGAAGGTATTGGTTTTCAGCCATCGTCTCCAGCCGCTTAAGTTGTTGGAAAGGCCAGCCATCAAGTTGAGGCCTTCAATTTCCTACTGAGCAACTTGGTTGCAGAGAATCGAGGTGGCTGCATCTTGGCCTATGCTCCATTAGCTTCGGGTGCTCAGACAGTGGGCAGATCAGAGAAGAATACTTTTCCGGGCGTACAAGCAAGTTTCATCAATTATATGTGACAATGAAACAAGCAAGACTGCCACTGCCTGCCAACAAATATTACTAACGTACCCATCCATTCTCATTTTGCACGAAGGTCATAAAAAAGGACAAATGAGAGTACGCATTTCATGAACTCGCTCAATAAAGTCCAGACAGCCCGCAACTCATGAATGACAGCTACCTTCCTCTTCAAATGTAACTGTTGTATATATATGCAAGATGATAACTTCAAGAGAAAGGTAACCGTCATTCAAAAGTTGCGTGCAATGGCAGGCAAGGTTGTCCATTTCTACGAATGAGATTTTCTTCGTGAATTGCTTGGGCTTGTTGACTTTTCTGAATTTCTTCACCTCACCCTTACGACAGTTCGTGAAGTTGAAGAACTGAACAACGTAGTTAATAAGTTGAACATCACCTGGGATGGGAGCACACTGTATGTGCACGGACAGTTGATATCCCTCCTAAAGAGTTCACCTACAGACATGTCAACCATAGAAACAGAGGGCATTGACGATGCCCGGATGGACCACATCTTAGAAAAGTTGGATATTAGAGAAGGACTGAAGGCAAACTTCTTCCTTAATCTGTTAGACTTGTCCGATTCAGGTGGGGAGAAGGTATTGGTTTTCAGCCATCGTCTCCGGCCGCTTAAGTTGTTGGAAAGGCCAACCATCAAGTTGAGGGCTTCAATTTCCTTGCTTGTTTTATTGTGACATACAATTGATGAAACTTGCTTGTACGCCCGGAAAAGTATTCTTCTCTGATCTGCCCACTGTCTGACCACCCGAAGGTAATGGAGCATGAGCTAGGATGCAGCCACCTCGATTCTCTGCAACCAAGTTGCTCAGTAGGAAATTGAAGCCCTCAACTTGATGGATGGGGTTTCATCTGGTTTTTGTGCCTGGGATGAGCACCAATTTCTCTGACAGCAGAATCGTGTCCTGATTGTTTAACCCCGTCATGAAATAGTTCAGTTGCTTCTTTGTCCTTTGTAGTCAGGCCTTCATAAAAGTATGTGCGTATAGTCCTTCAGCCCTAAATGAAAAACATAATGTAGTCCTTCCTCTTCAATATTTGGGAAATTATGCATTTATCGCTTGTACACATAATTATTTTAATTGTAAGCTATGTGAACGAAATGCAAAATTTTGATGTGTGTCCTTTCTTTTGTCTGTTTCAAAATCTGTATATGTGTTGGGAAATTCTGCGTGTTGTTGTCTGTGTTTACGCAAAATTTTGAGGTTAACAGCCACATGTTGCAGCCGTTTATTTGTGTTTTTGTAGCTTAAGCGGCCGGAGACGGTGGCTGAAAACCAATACCTTCTCCCCACCTGACTCGGACAAGCCTAACAGATTAAGGAA